TCCATGAATGTCAAGAGTTCGTTTTCGGCTGTTGATTCTACGAGCCGATCTATATGAGGGAGAGGAAAATTGTCTTTTGGACATGCTTTGTTAATGTCGGTGAAATCGACACATACTCTCCACTTTCCATTTTTCTTTTTGACTACCACGGGGTTTGCTAACCAGTCCGGGTATTTTACTTCTATAATCGAACAAATTTTCAAAAGCTTATCAACTTTTTCATTGACCGCTTGTGCTCAGTCAGGACCCAGTTTTCTTGGTTTTTGCTTTATTGGTTTAAAACTGGGATCGACGTTTAAATCATGGGTAATGATACTTTTGTCGATTTCAGGCATATCTTTGGCCGACAAGGCAAAAGTATGTTTATTTTCTTTTAGAAATGTTACCAATTGATCTTTGATTTCTGAATCTAAAGTAGTACCGATTTTTATTTTTCGATCTGGAAATTCGGAATCAATTTCAATTTCTATGGTAACCTCATTTGAACTGAGACCACTTGGGTAACGCGAGGTGCTTTCTTGCTTAACATTTATCATTAATTGCTATTTGAGCTTTAAACGATGTCCCATGAGGTAACAAGATCGCGACGTTTCCTGATCTCCTCGAAAGGTTCCGATTCCACTAGGAGTCGGAAATTTCACACATTGGTAATAAATTGAAGGTATAGCCTTCATTTGGTATATCCACGGAGTTCCGAGAATTATATTGTAAGCGGCCGGTCGGTCGAAAACAATAAATTCTACAATTTTGGGAACCCCTGCGGCGAGCACTGGTAGTTTTATGTTTCCTAAGGACATAGATGTGTCACTCGTGAAAGCTACTAATGGTGCCGGTGGACCGATAATGTCAGCTTTATTGATTCCAATTCTTTGCAAAGTGCTTAGAAATATGAGATCTACCGAGCTTCCAGTATTAATTAGACACCTTGTCACTTCGAAGTTTGCAACATCTAAAGTTATGACAAGAGCATCATCATGAGGCCCAACTAATCCTTGAGTGTCCGAATCGTCAAAGGAGATAGAAGGTATTTGTTCATTTGACTGAAAACCCACAGCGGTTTGAATTGCTGCTGATTTCTTGTGCCTTTTAATCGATCTGATCGAATCTCGGCATAATTTGGATCCTCCCATTATAACATCGATCCTTTTATAAGGAGTGTTCGGAGTTTCGGGCCCATTGGGCTTATGTTTCTTTTCAGGAGGATTAGAAGCTTCGGAATCTTCTTTTTCTTTGTGATAAGATTCCACAAATTCCCCGATATTGAAATTAGCAAGCTCTCCAGCTGCCCACAGTTCGGTGAGGTGCTTTTTGAGTACGCTGCAATCTTTGGTGGAGTGCCCGTTTACTTTGTGAATATCGTAATAAGCACTTTCATCTCTAACCCAAGTATTAGGAGGATTGTATCTTCCTCTGCTTGGGGAGGGTTTTCCTACAGCATTAGTAGCAGGATTAACTCCGAACAGTTGTTGATCTTTTGGTTCGAACTTTTTAGTTGGATTCGCAACGACTAATATAGCTGGCCGATGCTTTATAGCGAGGCTAAGTGTTTCTTCTTCTGCCTCCATCCAATTTGTAGCTCTGAATAAAGAATCTTGGATGGTACTTGGACGATTGACGATGATTTCTTCTCGAAATCGGGATTCATACCAGAGTCCATTCCTGAAAGCAGAAAGGGCAGCAGCGTGTGATACCCCAGGAATTTTGGCTATCACTTCTTTGAATTTAGCGATATATTTGCGAAGTGGTTCATTCTGACCTTGGGTTAAATTCCAAAGATCCGCATCATAAGTTGTCTTTTCCATGAACATGGAATATTGTTTTAGGAATGCAGAGGACAATTCCTTAAAACTGTCAATAGTTTCTGGTTCTAGCTGAGTGAACCATAACAGAGCCGGTCCGGAAAGATTCTCAGAAAATAGTTTGCAAAATCCGGCATCTTCCTCGCCTAGTTCTAGATCAATTTTGCCTACGGCGATCTGAAAAGCAGCGAGGTGATTTTTAGGATCTTCTTTACCATCGTAAGTTGGTAACTTTACCTTTCGAGAATCTTTGATCCGAAGGTTCGGGATTCTCGAGTTAAAGGGTGTTCGACGAGTTTCTTCGATTACTCGATCGATCTCAGGCGCCGAACTGGTCGCCTGATGAAATTTCGATTTCATTTCATTAAGCTCTTGACAAACTTTGATGAAATCGTCTGATAGGGTGACATCAGGATCTTCCATAAGGAATCCGTCGTCAACAGGAAGATTTCCCTGACCCTGGGGAATTTCTTCCCCGGTTGGGTTAGTCGCATCCCCTACGGCTGCCTGGTTGCTAGTATTAGCAGGCTGGCCTACTGGAGGAGTTTGAGTAATCCCGGGAGTCGCGAATAACCTGCGCTGACGCATTGTTGTTCGCGGTGAGGACAAATTATCTAAACGGCTCGAACCAGCGTTCTGCGCGTTTGACAAATTTGTCTGGATGGTTAGAACATTCGTTAAGGTTTGCTCGATTGAGTTCAACCTTTCACTAAAAGTGGTGTTGGCACTAACGAGTGTACCCATCTGATTGGTCAGATCGGTGGTTGTCTGAGTAAGCAAGGCAATCGCATCGCTCAATGCTTGCTGATCAGCCATAGTTTCTTGGTTGGGAAAGAAGGATTTTGAGATTAAAGAGTTTTGTGGTAACTCCTCACAGGCGGCGCCAAAATGTGGATGTAGGATTCACACTCGATTATCTTTAAGTATTTCAGTGGGGAAAAACTCTTGTAAAATCAGGAAATGAATATGAGAATTCGAAAAGGAAATCAACCAAGAAAAGAAGTAAAGAAATTTGACAAGAACGAAGTACAAAAGGCCTTGCGAAAGTAGTAAAGAGAGAAAAATATATTGTATTGCTTAGAAGTAATGAGTAATGAGATTCGTCCCCCCAAACACATACGTTTGAGGTTGTTTTTATAGAGAAAACATGATCAATGCGGTCATTTACTGCTCATAATCGCATTGATCCGCATTAATCATGTAAGTTACAATTTGACCGAAACGGCTTGAATTCGAACTATCTTGGGCTTCGCGTGGATCTTCCGAACTCTTTCTTGTTGACTCCGAACTCCCGCGCCTTGACGCTACCGCGAGCCTCGAACAATATTCTCATCGCTTCGGCCTTTCTCTATGCGAACTGCATGTTGAATAAGAGCGAACTCCGTACTGGTAAAGATCGAACTCTTTTAGTAAACTGAATCGAACTCCCGACTGGTTAAGCTCGATTCTCATAATAAAATATCTTTAATTCCAAGAGGATTATTACACTACAGGAAATGTGGGTATTGATAGCACTAAAAGATAGCGTTTTTTATGTCTCTGCTATGTTTTACTTAATAGATAGCGTTTTCTGAATTGTAAACGCTATAAATGATTGAAGCGGGATATATGCAATTCACGCGGCCAATTTTCGGGTTACTAAAGTCTCTTTCCCGCTATTGAAAATGTTAAGAGGGAAAATTGTGAAATTTTGTCTAAGGCAAAATAAAAGAAAACTTTTTCATTTTTTCCCTAAAGCAAAAAAAAAATCTAACTTCTTCTCTCGACTTCACTCGACTTCTCTAACAGAGAACAAAAAAAATCTTCAACTCATCTCCCTCTCGATCTAAGTCGGTTTCTATCGATCTCGAACAGGTATGTTCTCATTCGATCTGAGCCGTTTAATTTCTTTGTTCTCTGGAAAACCAATTTGATTTGGGGTTGTGTGAAATCGATTTTGAATTCCAAATTCAAAATCGATTTTGATTTTGGGTTTTCATTCTTACACTTAGTTAACATGCATGTCGAAGTCTGGCACATATATTGTTTCAATTGTGAAATCGATTTTGATTTTGGGTTTTAATTCGAAGTTTGGGTTTTGATTATGATTTTTGGTTTCGATTTTATGTTGATTGAAACTGTTCTTCATCAGTTTCAGAAAATGGCAAAGACAAGAGGAGGAGGTCAAGTTTGTGCTCGTCGTAGTAGGCGTAATCAAGGCTTGGAGGTAGAAGATGTTGCTCCTGCAACAACACTAAAGGTTAATAAGAAGGTGAATAAGAAGAAAACAACAAATAAAGTGGCTCGGAGAAGAAGTAGTACTAGAGCCAAGAAAGTGGCTGCTGTAGATGATGAGGTAGAAGATGTTACACCGAAAGTGGCTGCTGTAGATGATGAGGTAGAAGATGTAACACCAGAAGCTGTGGAAGAAGAAAAGGGTAATGACAAAGATATAACACCGGAGGCTGATCAGACTGAGAAAGCAATGTGTGAAGATGAGAATGAAGGAGAAGGATGTTTGACTGGACAGGGCCAGGAGGAGGATGAAGAAGAAGTTGCCAATATAGAAGAAGAAGCTTGTTTGACTGGACAGGATCAGCAGGAGTATCATCAAGAAGAAGCTGCCACTATGGAAGTAGCTGCGAATAATGAAGAAGTTGCCAATATGGAAGAAGATGGTGTTGGCAATGGTCAAGATAAAGCGATTCCTACCAACACTGATGAAGGAAGTCAGGTACCAGAAGAAAGAGTGAAAGTAAGAAGAAAAAGAGGACCAACAAAGATGCGTAAAGTGGCTGAAAATCCTAATGAAAGGGTTTCAGTTTCTTTCACTGACTTTGGTGATCATGTTGGAACTGGTTCAGTAAGATTATCATCTTTTCTTGGGGTCCTCGTGAGTCAATTCATTCCGGTTACAATTTCTGATTGGAGAGAAGTTGATGCAGCGACTAAAGAAACATTGTGGGAACAAATTCAGGTATATATTTATATATATGCAACTAATTTTTTGTTTAACAGATATGAAACATGTTTGACCTTTGCTTGTTGTACTTGATGCAGGGGAGGTTTGACATGGAAGAAGAATGGAAAAAAGCTGTTATTATGAAGCAAATGTGTAATATCTTTAGGGGTATGAAGTCAAGGCTAGTGACAAAAGTACGTGCTGCTGAGACAGCTGCTGATATACTAGCTTTAAAACCCAGCAACATCCCATCCATTCAAGTTAAGAGCAAGACTAGCAAAGCTTTTACGGTTAGTATGAAGTTTATATGTTTATATGTCATGTCTTATAGATTTAATCACACTCATATTTATAATGTAGGAAGTAAGTAACAAGATGAGGAAGTTGAGACATGATCAGATTCCTCAAACCTCCAGCCGCAAAGGATTGGTTCGTTTAGCTGATGATATGGTAATAATAGTTGTCAATATCTATATATATTGTATATCTTGTTAGCATAAAATGGTACTGAGATATGTATATGTACTTTATATAGAAAAAAAAGAGTTCAAACCCAAGTAAGGTGACTAGGACTAAGGTATGGTTAGCGGGACACACTCATGCTGATGGTAGATCTGTGAAGCCTCAATTTGCTGAGACTATTGTAAGAATTCTGGAACTTATTATATTGTGTGTAAGTAATGCATCATGATCAATGAGTTATAATATTGTGTTTGAATGTTTGTCTCAGAAACAAATACAATCACTTGATAGTGAAATGGACTCTACATCAGCTGCTGATAACATAAGGGAAGATGCTGTGATCCAGATTTTGGGAAAAGACAAACCTGGACGAGTAAGGGGGTTTGGTAGAGGGATCACGGCTACTAAGTTAGCGTTTATGCAAGCTAGAGACGCAAAAATGGCAGAAATGAAAAGTGAGATTGATGAGTTGAAGGGAATGTTTAGAGACTTAGCTGGAAAGAAGGTAATCCTTTTCATTACATTTAGTCAATTGGTCTGGTTTTAAGACATTAACAAAATTCCTTTTCCTTATCTCAGAAAAGTTATTGTGAGACTGAAACATGTTAGAGTAGTGGTGTATTCAAAGTAGGAGATAGAGTACAACTACTGGATTGGATTCATTCAAGAGAAGTAGTTGTTGGTGAAGGAGAATTCTGTTATGATGAACCGATGTACAAAATTGGTCGTGTACCAATTGGTCCTAATGCAGTGGCTGTCATTGTTAGTTCTGTACTAAGCTCAACAGCTTCTCTCTGGAGGCCTACATCAGATGTGTTATATCTTAAGGAAGCTGTTGGATGCAAAATATCTTGGCCAATGGACAAAGTGCTTAGGGCTCCATTCACTTCTGAAGATGTATCCTTAGGGGTAAAGTTTTAAATTCCAATATCATTTTCTTTTGGTGAATTGATATATATCTAATCATTAGCCTCTTACATTTTAGCCAAACAAGGAAGGTGAAACTCGAAGCTGCAAAATATTTGATTGGGAAAATATAGAGAATGATGAGCTTATTGTTGAAGGTATTGTGTGCTCATCTAACTCCAAAGAGAGGGTTAACAATATTCCTCTAGGTCCTGGTGCTGTTAGTCTTCAAGTTGTGAAGGTGTTCAATTTTAATGCTCCTTTGTGGAGGCCAACTGCTGATATTAGTGTAATTGGTGAAACAATTCATGAAAAAATCGCTTGGCCAGTCCTAAAGATTGATGTCACGGCTACAGCCACTCCAGAACCAACACTAACTAAATCAGTGGTATGTTATTGAAATTAAGTTTTTCATTTGTTTGTCTATTGATTGATGTTGGGACTTTCATTGATGTTGGAACTTGCTTCTATTATTTGCTTTGAGTTGTAGAGTCCAGGCAGCAATAGTTCCACCAAAAGTCCAAAGCAGAAGTGTGTTCTTTTAGACTGCAACAATTCTGGTCGTATTGTAGCTGAAGGAACAGTGATGTCAACAGATCCAGAAGATAAGTGCCATAATGTGCCCCTCGGTCCAAATGCAAGCAAGGTCTCTGTAGATTTGATTAAGATTGGTAATGCAAAGGTCTGGAGGCCAAATTCAGAGTTTGTATTCATTTCTGATGCAGTAGGTTCAGTTGTACCTTGGCCAACCGAGAAAGTGAAGTTTGTGTGAATCTTAGCCAATTGTGATATTGGTATTGTATTGGTATTGCCGGTTATGGATATTAGATTGTATAATATTTGTATTGTGATATTAGCATATTTGTATTGTGATATTAGCATATTGGTATTGTGATATTAGATTATGGTATTGGTACTTTGTGTAATATTATGGTATAAATTAAACTCTAAATTAAAGTTAAAATCTTAAATTAAATCTCTAAACCCTAAACCCTAAACCCTAAACCCTAAACCCTAACCCCAAATTAAAGTTAAAATCCTAATTAAATTAAATCTTTAAACTCTAAATTAAAGTTTAAACTATAACACATAAATACTTGAGTAAAAAAATCTAAATCCCAAAGTTTAAACCCTAAACCCTAACCCTAAACCCTAAACCCTAAACCCTAAACTCTAAATTAAAGTTAAAATCCTAATTAAATTAAATCTTTAAAACTCTAAATTAAAGTTTAAACTATAAAACATAAATACTTGAGTAAAAAAATCTAAATTCCAAAGTTTAAACCCTAAACCCTAAACTATGCCTTAGTGTATATGAACATATAAGTTAGATAGTTGGAATACTAACCTATATTAATTGTTCTTAATTTTAAAATTTTATACTTATAAGAAAAAATATTCTAAAAATTGAAATACATATATTGTATTTTTAAAGAAATAATTTATATTTTTTTCATTAATAAAAAATTTTATATGATAATTTTATGATTTTTTCATTACTAGCCAATGAGAACTCACCTCCCACATTGTGGGACGAATCCTGCACCGTTAGATCGCGCCGACTTTGATCTGAGCCGTCCTTTCTTATTGTTGACGCGATTAATATACACCCTTGATCTGTATCGCTGATTTGATCTGAGCCGTTCATGTTCTTAGCCAATAAGCAGTAACTACCGAGATTGCAAGCTTATTTCACTAATTTTGATCCCAGCCGTTCATTTTTTATACTTTCAGACAATTCCAACAGAACTCGATTTAGGGTTTATCATTTCAGAACACAAATTTTCTGAGAACTCGATTTCCCCAACTCGATTTTACCAAAAGTTCATCATTTCAGAACGGATTCATCTCCATCGTGACCAAATGGATAAGACGTGGATCTCGCTGCCAAGGTATACACTTAATTCTATCGAGCTTACTTATATTATCTGATTGAAAGAAATCTGAATTCTTTTCCAATTGACAATGTAGGAATACTATCGAGTACTCAGAAGGAGCAACGAATTTCGCCAATTCATCTGCAAGAAGATTGGGAAATCTATCTGAAATGCTATGCCCATGTAGAGATTGCCGCAATTTATGCCATCAGTCTATAGAGGAAATTGTTGAGCATCTAGTGCTTAGGGGTATGGATAAGAAGTATAAGACTTCTTGTTGGAATTTTCATGGTGAAAAAAGAGCAGATACAGAAGATAATGCTCCTCAACATGAAACAGAGGCATTTGACTTGTTTAAGACAGCATTTTCTATGGGTGATGATGATGATGATGAAGCATTAGAGGCAAACGACGATGAAGCAGTAGAGGAAACTGAGTTTAGGAAAAAGTTAAGAGAAGCTGAAACTCCATTGTACTCTGATTGTATCAAATACACAAAGGTTTCAGCAATTATGGGACTTTACAGATTCAAGGTTAAGAGTGGTGTGTCGGAGAACTACTTTGATCAGCTGTTGGGTTTAATTCAGGACATGCTACCTGAAGACAATATACTTCCGAAGAGTTTAGCTGCAATCAAGAAATTCCTGAAGATATTTGGTTTCGGATATGAAAATATTCATGCTTGCAAGAACGATTGCATACTATATAGGAAGGAGTTTGAGAAGTTAGATAGCTGTCCAAGATGCAAAGTTTCAAGATGGGAAAAGGATAAGCATAGTAATGAGATAAAGGTTGGGATTCCAGCAAAGGTCCTTAGATATTTTCCAATCAAGGACAGATTTAAGAGGATGTTTAGATCAAAAAAGATGGCTGAAGATTTGAGGTGGCACTATACGAATGGCACTGAAGATGGTACAATGCGACACCCCGTTGATTCTATCCAGTGGGCACAAGTGAATGATAAATGGCCAGACTTTGCTGCTGAACCAAGGAATCTTCGACTTGGAATTTCTTCAGATGGGATGAACCCTTTCTCCATGCAAAACACCAATCACAGCACATGGCCAGTGATGTTGGTGAACTATAACACGCCTCCAACTATGTGTATGAAGGCTGAGAATATAATGTTGACTTTGTTGATCCCTGGTCCAACAGCTCCTGGTAATAACATAGATGTTTACTTGGCACCACTGATAGACGATTTAAAAGATTTGTGGGCTGAGGGTATTGAAGTGTATGACTCATTTGCAAAGGAGAATTTCACACTTAGAGCCATGCTGCTTTGGAGTATCAGTGACTATCCAGCCTTAGGAACATTGTCTGGATGTATAGTGAAAGGGAAACAAGCTTGCAATGTATGTGGAAAGCATACACCTTCCAGATGGCTTAAGTTTAGCCGTAAGTTTGTCTATATGGGGAATAGAAAGAGACTACCGCCTGGCCATCGTTACAGATATAAAAAAGCTTGGTTTGACAACACTGTTGAGGAAGGGACTGCCAATAGGATACAAACTGGCTCTAAAATATATGAGACACTACAAGCTTTTAGGAATGATTTTGGAAAACCTCTAGATAAGGAAACTAAAAGAAAAAGAACTGAGTTGGATCAAGATGAGGTGGTTGAAGAAGAAGAGTGTGAAGAATCAAATGATATATGGCGGTGGAAGAAGAGATCAATATTCTTTGAACTATCTTACTGGAAGGTAATGTAAACTATTTGAACTATATTCTCTTATTGTTGGATCTGAATAAGCCTAACAGTTTCTTATTTAATGTGTTAGGATTTGCTTGTTCGTCACAATATTGATGTTATGCACGTAGAAAAGAACGTCTCAGATGCTATATTGTCTATCTTGATGCAAAGTGCTAAGTCAAAAGATGGTTTGAAAGCAAGAAAAGACTTAGAAGATATTGGAATCAGGAATCACTTGCACACAGAGGTCCGGGGAAAGAAAACATACTTACCTCCAGCAGCCTATTGGTTATCCAAGAAAGAGAAGACAATTTTCTGCCAAAGATTATCTAAGTTTAGAGGTCCTGATGGTTATTGTGGTAATATTGCAAATAGTGTTTCAGTTACCCCTCCAAATATAAGTAGTTTAAAGTCGCATGATCATCATGTCCTAGTACAGAACTTGTTACCAGCTGCATTAAGAGGGTTGTTACATAAGGGTCCTAGGATTGCCATAAATAGATTATGCAGTTACTTCAACAGGTTGTGTCAGCGCATCATCGACCCGGAGAAACTTATGACAATGGAGACAGAGTTTGTGGAAACAATGTGTCAACTGGAGCGCTTCTTCCCTCCATCCCTTTTTGATATCATGTTCCACCTTCCAATACATCTATCAAAAGAAGCACGTTTGGG